AGTGAGCGGGGATTGTCCGCTCATTGTGGCTCGGGTAAGAATCAACGTGCCAACAGCCAGCCAGATGAGCGCATTTGTTGGGCGTAGAAGCACTGCGAATGCAGCAAGCACGAGCGACTTGCGCAGGCTAATGGGCAGTCAGTCTGGTAAATTTGCAGCTTAGATTCCCGAAGTGCTAAGTATGTTGAATCACTCACCTATTGACTCGGCTTCCCTTTGCAAACAAATCAGATGGCAAACCCTCATCGGTAGCATTGCTTTCTGCTTCAATGCCGAGTACCTCCCACGGGAAATAGTATAGTGCCATGGCTGTCAGTGTTGTTTCAAAACAGTTAGAAAACGTCCTGGTGGCTGTATACCAGTTCCAAGGGTTACAAAGTGTCATTAGTAACTGTGTAGGTGTCAGCACTGATACGAGTTGTAGGTTCTGCTGAAGGGGCTTTCCACTTACAACAGACCATGCGGCTGGAGTACTGGGACCGTATAACTTCTCTGCGAGCCTCCAGGTGTACCAGTCACCTAAGCTGGCGAAACCCGTCTGCATGAGCTTGGGTACCATAACAAGCCATTTGGCCTTCACAACTGGCATGGTGTATGAGGCCCAAAAGTTGTCGACGATGAAGTAGCCCAGAGCAAAGACGGCAGGATGCAACGATGAGCGTAGCTGATGTTTCCATTCCTTGAAGGGATCAGCATAGGGTTTTGGGGTGAATTCCAAGAGGAGAATGGTGAGTTTCGAGACAGGAAGGCCTGAGGAATCTACACACGAGGTTCGCCTACATACCCAAGTCAACCAGGCTCCGCTGTTGTCCCCGAACACCATTTGCCACGCCGGCTCGAGCGCCTGGAAATATTCATCGGGTTGAAAGAATGTACGAACACAGAGGGCGTTGGCCAAGCGAACGGCAAAGATGACGGCAAGAGCCTCTTGAGCTTGCGCCCTAACAAGATTGGATATATCACTTGTTGGTTGGTTGAGGTTGCTTGCCCCCTTATCTTTCGCGGCAGCAACCGCGCCAGCGGATTTCTTGGGACTTTTTGGAGCCATATCCCACTGCCATGGACTTTTGAGGATCAGTATTATTGTCGACCAGTTTTCACAACCTCAGGCGTTTAAAAGACGTGAGTTGAGGCTACTTGGCCTGTCACGACTTGGAACCTGGCAACAGCTTATCCGGCCTCGATTTGGATAGCTCGGAGCTGTCCGCATTTAGACAGACAGTTTCATGACCGTTGGACAGCTGGCGGACGGACGTGGCGGCTGGGAAAGCCCAGCTGCAGATGCCCGGGAACGTGATATTGGGTCAATGCAGGTGCCAAGGAGGTGGAACGGCGCGGGATTGGACGCGTAGGCAGCTCGCAGACATCCGTAGCCACCCCACGCTCGCCCTGCGTAACGATTGACAATGGCTGAATGCTGATTGGTCTGAAATTGAAGATTCTTCGGCCGCCGTGCTCTCCCCGGGCTCGGCGGTGGGCGGGACCTACTGATGATCGCAGCCCGTCATCAGATCCCTTCAGGAGCCTAGGTCTGGCAGATGAGATCCGACAAGAATGCCAGGCAGAGGTGTGCAACCCCAGCCTCACCGCCCGCCCGCATGGGACCGGACAGTAGACACACAGATCGTATGCAGGCCGTGGCCATACTGGACATCCGCAAGCTTGGACGCCGTCATCCAGCATGCCAGCGCTGGCGGGCGGCTCGAGTAAGGTAAGGTGAACAGCGTCAGCCCTCCGGATCTGGCCCGTCAGCGGTCTCTTGGCCGGCTTCCCTCGGCAGCAAGTGGACACACACATCTCGAACGCGCAGGTGACCGGCTGCAATAGACTTTCAAGCATCCCAGGGTCCCTTCGTCACTGGTTGAGCCGCATCGACTTGCACTTAGGGGTTTAGTGGCCGCCGAATGCCTGGTTGGGCATCTCAAGCTCTCTTTCAACTCTCCCCTCGCCGTTTCGCATTACGTTTGTCCACGGTTGTCAGGTAGGGGGTACTTTGCGCGAGTATCTCACCTCCTTTCGCACCTCACCGACCTGTTCTGCCCCGCCTTTCTTCCTCTCTTCAACCAGACTTGCCCACGGTGACTTCCACCTCTTCACTTCGCTTTACTTTCTCCTTCCTTGCAGTGTCTTGCTTGCTTGTGCCAGATCCTGCCTTCCTCGCACCAGGCACTACACCCGTGTACCAGACCGATTTCCCGTAGAGTACCTAGGTAGGGTAGTAAGACTCTGCTCTCATCTTCGAACCCTCTGCTTCCGCCCGCCCTCTACGATCCCGAATCCCGCCCTCGTTTTCCATCATGGCTACCCACGCGAACAGCCAGACGACCCAGCCCGCCAATGGCTCCTCCGCCGAGTCGCGCTACCATGCCTCTTCGACTAAGAGTGCCATCGACGCCGAGCACAAGTTCGCTGCCCATAACTACCACCCGCTGCCCGTAGTCTTCTCCCGCGCCCAGGGCGTCGACGTCTGGGACCCCGAAGGCAAACACTACATCGACTTCCTCTCTGCCTACAGTGCCGTCAACCAGGGCCACTGTCATCCCGAACTCGTCAAGGCACTCAGCGAGCAAGCCGGCCGATTAACCCTGAGCTCAAGAGCTTTTCACAACGATGTCTTCCCCAAATGGGCCGAGAAGGTCCAGCAGATGTTCGGCTACGACATGGTGCTGCCCATGAATACCGGAGCGGAGGCTGTAGAGACTGCTATCAAGATCGCAAGAAAATGGGCATACAAGGTGAAGGGTGTCCCGCATGATAAGGCACTGGTATTTGGTGTTGGGGAAAACTTCCACGGCCGGACGGTAAGCAATGCAATAGAGTTTGGCTCACATGCGGCCGTTTCCTAACGGCATCCAGATGACCGCCGTGACCTTGTCCACGGACCCGGAATCGAAGGATAACTACGGTCCGTACATACCCAATGTTGGAGCCACATGCCCATCCACGGGCAAGACGATCCGATATAACAAAATCGCCGATTTGGAGGAGGCACTCGAGGCCCACGGCAAGGAAGTGGCCGCTTTCATCGCGGAGCCGATACAGGGTGAGGCTGGAGTTGTCGTGCCGGACCCGGACTATCTCAGCAAGGTTCAGAGCCTCTGCAAGAAGCACAACGTTCTCTTTATCTGTGACGAGATCCAGACAGGCATTGGCCGGACAGGAAGAATGCTTTGCTCGGAATGGGCTGGCATCAAGCCAGACATGGTTACACTGGGAAAGGCGATTTCCGGTGGGATGTATCCCGTCAGCTGTGTGCTTAGCAGCAAAGAGATCATGCTTGTCGTTGAGCCCGGCACTCACGGCTCCACATATGGTGGCAACCCGCTAGGATGTGCTGTCTCGATCAGAGCGCTCGAGCTCATGGAAGAAGAGCAGCTAACCGAGAAAGCCGAGAAGCTTGGAAACATCTTCCGGGATGGCTTAGCTGCCTTCAAATCGCCCGCTATCAAGACTATTCGCGGTAAAGGGCTATTGAACGCGGTTGTGATTGATGAGTCTCAGACGAATGGGCACTCGGCTTGGGATCTCTGTGTTCTGCTTAAGAACAAGGGTCTACTGGTGAGACTGGAATACTTTGCCGTTTTCCACATGGTTGCGCTGAAGGCTAACATTCGCGACAGGCTAAACCGACACATGGAAACATCATTCGGTTCGCCCCTCCATTAGTCATTACCGAGGAGCAGCTACGCAAGGCGATGGACATCATTGGCGATGCATTGAAGACCTTACCCAACATGAAGCAGCACGAGGACGTCCACCCCCAATTGGAGAACTAGATTTCCCTATCACGGTGCTACTGCCGTCATCCGCATGAATCTCATTCGTGCAACCATGCATCAGCGAGTCCGGAGGTCGGACTATCGGGGATAACAGAACAAATATGGAAGCATGGCTTATTGCTGGGGCAAGAGATAGGCAGTAGATGAAGTCGAGACAGTGATGGAAATGGAATGCGAGCTTCCCATCAGCATGCCGGGAGAAAGGGTAACATGGATGCAACCCTGATAAGACTGGCTTAAATAGAGCAGTAGCAAATCGAAGCCGCGTCCACGATAGCCGTTATCTCTCTCTCCTCTCTGCCTCTAACAGCGCGTGCCGCTGATTTCATTGGTAATAATATGTTTGCTGAATCTTCCACGCAAAAGTACGTTCCCAGCACATACCGAGAGCATTGGAGGTGTCGTGTCAAAACGCTTTCAGAACAGCCTCTAGCATATGCACCGTGGGAAGGACACTTCGGTTTTCCCTGGGATAGCATGGTATCGATGCAAAGGGACACAATTTACGAGCTTCCTCCTCTCGGTATTAGGAGTAGAGGTTGGTACAGATGACTGCCAAATGACCTCTCACTCCGGTCTCAATGTCTCGACTCGTCAGCGCTGGGAAACTGCTGACATTACCGTGGCCATGCGACCTAGCTGGTCTACGCGCTAGGACAAGCAGTGAGCCATTAGAAGATCTCGGCGGCAACTGCATGTATATCTAGGTACCTAGGGCTGATCGATTGACCCATTGCTGCTGCAGTGCGAACCAAGGTTCAGATCAAGTGTAAGGAGGTTAGTTGAGTCTCAGCGCATTCCGATCTGGCAGCCAGCTCAATCGCCCAAATTTTCTGTCCCCAGGGCCTTGAGCCTTATAGTGCGCGAAAGTAATGAATGGCAATTGTCTCAAGACCCTTTGAGGACTGGACATTAGAGTCCATGTTCCAAGCGCCCGTTCGGTGCAGTATCTGGTGTGTGCTTTACTTACTCTTCGGCGTCCCCTTACCTAAGAGTGCCTGGGAGCCTCTGTTCGACATAGTCTAGTACCAGTTAGATGTGAAAACTACCTAGGTAGGTATGTGAGCAATAACTGAGTGCACAGGGTCTTTTAGAAAAGTACAACAGTCTCTACCTAGGCGGTAGGTATCGCTCTTTGAAAGCCATGGGGGGCTTAGTCAAGGCGTACGAATATAAGTCAAAATTAAAATGCAGCCATACATCGAATCACATGATTCAGAAGGTGAGATGGCCGAGTTGGTCTATGGCGCCAGGTTAAGGCTACCTTAACGCAATTTCCTGGTGGAGAAATCCGCGTGGGTTCGAATCCCACTCTCATCATCTTCTCTTTTTGCTGTCACAGCTATCCTTTTCTTCTTACAGCAATCTCTTTTTGCCGGGCAGTTCTTCATGTTGATGAAAACCACCATCTTTTTTTGTTTTGCGTCTTGTACGGGTTCATCTTCAAAGTCTTTTGAGCGGTGCGACCGTACCCAGTGTGGTTTTGTTTTTTTAGCAGACCCCTCGTGGACCTGGATGGGCTTGGTTCCTACAGCTATTTGCCTGGTACATGCAAACTGCATGGCTTGTAATCATTAATCAAGGCTTCTCGTATTGGCTGCTGTCACTTGCCCACATGTCGTCCACAGGGTGTTCACAGCCGTAGGTGACAAGGTCATACTTCGTTGACGTGCTGATAGGTTCATCACATCATCCCAAAAGAGTCATCCATACTCCGTCTAGGTCGTGCTGCATGTCTCGGATACCTTACGCATGCGACCGCTGGTCGCAGGGGAGGTGCAGCCTGCTCTGCTGCCTATACAGATATGCTGCAAGGCCCTTTTCCAGTCAACCTACAGTCCCGTTAGCCGTGCCGTGTTCCGCGTCCGAGGCCGTCTGTACTTTGTAGTACCGAAGTCCTCCTGTGCTTGGGATACCAAGGTCACCTACTTCCCCACCGAGCGCTGTCAGATCGAATTGTTGGGGCAAGAGCCTGAGAATGGCATCATTTGCGCCTCTTGCTAAGCTCGTCTGTTTCTCTGGTCGCTTAGCTTCAAGGTTTGAACCACCTGATATTTAGTTTCGGGATATGAGAGACATGCATGGTGGCAGGGACCCCGCCCCAGGTAGCTTCGGTGTGCCTCTACTCGTACCTCGCTAGTATGCTTGCGGAACAGACTGATCATTTGTGACGCAGATGGGTTTGACTCAGAGCGAGCAGGCAAGGCAGGCAAAGCTGCAGTCCAGCCTGGGCTGCAGCCAAGCCGTGGAGTCTAACGGCAAGGCGCATGAAGGACAACTGTATTGCTATGCTCTGACTCTTCGAGCAGCTGGGACACAGAGCGTTGTGCGCCAAGTGCGACGATGGGGTGGTATTTCGCCCAAGACTGTCAAGTGTCGTGGAACGGCATGGCTTCCACCTGCGCTCTGCCCATCTGGACCTCGGAGCCAATATCCGGCATTCCTACCTACCTACTGATGAGAGGTGCTGAACCGGTACCGGTATGCCGTATGCCAGAGTGTTCCAATGTTGATAGGCAGATTGGGCCCGGTACGCACGTAGGGATCTGATACTGCAGCCAAGACCAAGACCGATCGCGGGGCGATAAGAGCGACACCTCCATCCATTTGAAGCTACCCGGATACTACTGTACTGTAGTCTGTACCAGAGGCCTGCGAGGGCTGCTGTAGGTATGCGAGTTCCCGAGATCCCTTATGTGATGTGGTAGCTGGGTCCGCGCAACACGACAAGCGCCCGCCTCCAAAGTGAGCCCAACAGTTTATAGGAGGGAAAGGAGCGCGTGACCACAGATGACCTTCCCTTTCTCCTCTCCCGGACCACTTCGCCCCTTAATAGGGGTCCTGCGAGCAGCCGGCCAATTCGCGAATGTCGAGTCACCTCACGAACCGGGACCCCGTAGATAGCAGCCAGCGGGTTGGCTTGGTTGGTCACCAGCTCGGGTTGAGCCTCACTAAACGCTAACCTAGTGGCCAAGAGCAAGTGACAGCAAGGCACGACAGAATCTGGGAAACCTGGGCTCGACCGGCGATGATGCAATACGATAGCCGTTTTGCGACTAGGCAGGTCGAGAGAGAGAGAGAGCGAGAGAGGACAATAGGCTCTTTGTTCTCACGTTGTCTGTTGTTTGGAAGTAATAAGAAGTCCTGGACAGAATTATTACATACTTCACCGCAATGCTGTCGTTGCTTTGGGTCAGAACTGGACGCCCTTGACGCCCAGCGGATGGATCCGCTGCATGACGAATGCCGCAATAGGCAGTCCCGTCTGGTGTGCTGCGGTCGGCCACGAGGGATCGTCCACCTGGCGCGCGGCCACTGCAGACGGGAGGCCGGGCTTGCTTGGCTCTATGGGGGATGGGGACTGTAATCTGTAGGTGAGGCGCGTACTACCTATGTACGTACCTACTTTACGTACCTCCAAGTACCTACGGCCAGTCCATCAAGGTTGTGGGGAGAGAGAGAGCAGAGCATGGTAACAGGGCGTATGCAGGAGACGAAACAGGCCAGGAGTGCATGCATTGCGTGAATCCGCGAGAGCGATCGAGCTGTCGAGCTGTCGAGCTGTCGTCGAGCTATTGCGCTGTCCGTCAAGGTCGGTTTGCTGGCTCGCTGGCTGGCTGGCGCTGGCTGCATCGAGGAGGGAGCCCTTGCAGACGGCCAACGCATCCCACACGGCGCCAGCGTAACCCTCCATCGACGTCTCGCGAGTGCCTGTCTTGCCTGTCTGCCTCGAGGGCGCATGGAGAGAATACTGCGGCGCGATAGGTGCGCTGTCGGAGCAGGTTGGCAGGTATGGGCCTCGTCCCGACGATCTTTGCCTGGCTAGCTGGCTGATAAGGGTCAGTCGGAATACGGGGCACTTCATACCGCCAACCGCCAACCTCGTCATCCTGGCCATCCTGCTATCAGGTGCCCTCCTACGTACACTCCGTATTGACCCATCCATCCGTCCACCAGCCCACCCATCTATTCGCCCACTATTCGATCGCAGGAACGGGCATGGGATTGCGGGGGTAATCCCAGGCAGCCAGGCATGGTCAGCCCGATGCATGACAACCAACACCGAGGGCGCGATGATACACTTGAGGTTGGTTGGTTCGTTCTATGCTTACCTACCTTAGGGACTATGCCTACAACTGGTTTATACAAGTAGTAAGACATTCCGTGGTGTAGGATTCGATGATAAGATGAGAATCAACTTGAGTATAATGTCATGTATGAAAATAGATAATGCGTCCATCGTGGAGGGATTTGGGGATAGGACCTGGACTTGGGCAGTACTGTACCTAGATCAATGAGTACCGTACTCCCTACGGCCTCCACTGTCCGGGGCTTATCAGCTGCCACCTTATCACCCAAATTCACCTTATCACCCATGCAGGTGCTAAAGAGTCACGCGTGGCCGCTGACGGCCTGCCACTGGGGGGCAGATCTTCATTGTTCGTCTGCCCGCCGCTACATTTCCATCGCCTAATCGCATCGCCCTCGCCATCGAGTAGCACCATCTTCCATCTTCCTCACCTCATCTCGTTTCACTTCGCTCTTCGCTAAAGTTCTAACTTACCAACCCACACCACCAGCGGCCTCACCATACTACTACTACCTACCTTACCACCTTACCTTACCTTACCTTACCTCGTAATAACCCTTCGTCTACTGTCTTCTGGCCTCTGCCGGTTCCGCCAGTACGACATTGGGAGCATATCTACAGCGCTACAGGTAGCAATACCTACATCATCTGCAGCCGTCCCCCATCATCCCATCCCATCCTATCCCATCCCAGCCTGCCTACATTATCCCCCTTGTCGCCCCGAGTCATTCGTTTGATCATCGGCCGACCACTCACAAGGCCACAACCAAGCACGCTAGCACAGCTGTCCGAGCTCCCCTACAGTGTACACCAAGCAACCAAGGCCCTAACTCCAGCACCTCCCACGGGCCTACCGACCTGCCTACAGTGACAACTCAGCGCGCTATCTGCCCATCCTCCCCTATCAGGTTGTCAGGCCTTGCCCATCACTCCAATCGACTCTCGTCTGGTCAGGTACCTCGTCCGTACCGCCTGATCCATCGTCCCCATCAGACCGTCTTGACCGTCTCCCCTTCTGTCGCGCCAGACCTTCCTACTCTTCAGGTCAGCGGCCATCATCGCCAGCCGTGTGACTATCGGCTTCGCGATTCCATAGCCTCCTTCTTCCCGCCTCCCGGGTCCTCCTACGGCAACCGTGTTGCTCAGGGTGACCCTAGAGCCTCGCAAGGCCTTCTTACGTACAAGCCCAGGCATCACAGCAGGTCTCCACCCTTTTGGAGCTTCCAAGGTCCCTCCAGAGTTCTCGACCCTGACCAGCGTCCGTTGTCCAGGTACTCCGACCTATCGGATACCTGCCTCTACATCATCCATCCACTTCGACCTTCAGTGCCGTCCCGGCCAGAATCGAGACGCGCTCACCTCGACTCCCTGAGCTTCCTGTCCACTGTCACCGATATTCGCTTCTTCTGCCTCGGCCATTCCATCCTCCTTCTTTCTCCCTCCTTCATCAACCTCAACACCGCCGCCATCGCATCCCAACTAGGGCCATCTGGATGTGTACATGACGATTCCCGACGCTCTTCCTTCATCCTCGACTCCCTTATAGGCCCTCGGGTTGTACTACCCTAGCTTCCTGTCACTCGCCAACCATCACAGGAAGCCATGGCCGACCCACGAGGCTCGTCGTCCTCCTCGCGCCGTGCGAGGACGGGCGGCGATGTTATCGGCCAGTTCATCATCGGCTCTGAGATAGGCAAAGGCAGCTTTGCGCAGGTTTACATGGGCAAGCACAAGGTTCGCATCCCTATTGGCATCTAGCCGTTAGATCTGTCAGCCTCCTTCCGCGTATTTCGCTTTCATATAGCCCTCTGATAGCCTTGAGCCTCCCTGGCCACACCTGTAACCTCAAATCGCATTCACAGCCCCGGTGTCGACTCATCTTCCAGGGGCCTCATAGATTTGCTAACATTGTCAAGGAATCTGGCGAAGCCGTTGCGATTAAGTCCGTCGAACTTGCCCGATTGAATAAGAAATTGAAAGACAATCTTTATAGCGAAATCAAGATCCTGAAGAAACTCCGACACCCTCACATCGTTGCCCTCCATGATTGTATCGAGTCCTCGACCCACATTAACCTGATGATGGAATACTGCGAGCTGGGCGATTTGTCACTGTTCATCAAGAAGAGGGAGAGGCTCATCACGCATCCTGCAACCTTCGACATGGCTCGGAAATACCCTAGTGCTCCCGGTGCTGGGCTTAACGAAGTCGTGATTCGACATTTCCTCAA